GGCCAATCTTATGGAGGCATTTTCTTTTTTTCTTTTTTTGTTTTGTTTTGTTTTTCGAGACAGGGTTTCTCTGTGTAGCCCTGGCTGTCCTGGAACTCACTCAGTAGACCAGGCTGGCCTTGAACTCAGAAATCCACCTGCCTCTGCCTCCCAAGTGCTGGGATTAAAGGCGTGCACCACCACCGCCCGGCACGGAGGCATTTTCTTAACTAAGATTCCCTCTGCGTAAATATGTATATATTTGTGTACAGTTGACAAAAAACATCCAGCACAAATCCTTAATTTTTTAAAAAGAAGTTGGATTTACACCATGGTAAGGATATCATGGTGTAGCATTCACTTTTTAAAAAACGATTTCCTTTCATTTTATTTATTTTGTGTATATTGGTGTATTTGACTGTATGTGTGTCTGTGTGAGGGTGTTGGTTCCCCTGGAAATGAGTTACAGATAGTTGTGAGCTGCCACGTGGATGCTAGGAATAGAACCAAGGACCCCTGGAAGAGCAGCCTTGACCTCTGACCTCTAAGCCATCTCTCCAGCTCCAAGGATTCACTTTTTTTAAAATATAGAATTATTTATTTTATGTTTGTGAGTACACTGTCACCGTCTTCAGACACACCAGAGACACCAGAAGAGGGCATCAGATCCCATTATAGATGGCTGTAAGCCACCATGTAGTTGCTGGGAATTGAACTCTGGACCTCTGGAAGAGCAGCCAGTGCTCTTAACAGCTGAGCCCTCTGTACAGCCCCCAAGGATTCACTTTTTAAATAAGGGTGAATTGAAGTTATTTTTAACTCATCACTCTCACATGATTTTTTTCTTTGTGTGTTGTTAGCTGGAAAAAAAAATCTTCCCATAAAATTCTGTAACCTTACAGCAAAATTATGCTTAAAGCTGGTACATCAACACTTATAGAGCCAAAGGAGGACAGAGAGGGCGGTGAAATGCTGTCTTCTGGCTATAGCAGTCATGAATTCACAGAAATTGTTTGTTACCTGCAAAAGGCCAAGCCAAGCAAACTCCCAGTATAGATGGGAAAGGTGCCCTGGAGTCCCCATCTCTTACTGGGGAGCTAATGACAATTGATAGCTGACAGAGGAGGAAGAATCACTCGTTGGTGGGTTTTTTGGTGGGACAGTTATCCCACAGATCAGTGGACAGCCTGACACATGTGTTTCAAAGTCCAAAATGATAAAGCATTAAAGTCTGACAGATTCTCCTCAGTAAAATACATACATGAGTGTAAAGGGGCCAGGTTATTCCTGAGTAGGAATTTCTGATGCACCTTCTCCCCTGTGAAATATGTTGGTTTACACAGTTGCTACAAAAATCAAAAGTTTTATACTAAAAAACAATAAATGTAAGTCCAAATGCCAATTATGCATGAGAATTTACTAGGCCATAGATGAAATGTGCTATTTCACAAGTAGAGCGACCATCTGTTTCCTGACCCTGAAATAAAAGGTCATTTGAAAAAAGCTTACAGTTCTGAAAGTAGCACGTCCTCAGCCAGCGTTTAAACTTAACTGGCCTCACCGTGTGCTTTTCCCATGCAGACACTCTGCTGATTGTTTTTAATTGTAGCTAGTCAAGTAAAATTCTCCCTGAACAGGAACAATAGCAACAGTGAGCTGATGGCAGACCAAGTAAAGATTGTCTCCTTCAGATGATTAATGGCAGTAAATGAGGGTAGCTAACAACGGTGGGTAACACTAACCTGAAGCTCGAAGCCCTCCACTAAGCACATTAGAAAGGTGGCAGCCACAATAAAGTCTGGATTTTGCTACATTATTTATTGATATTTTGTTTGTCTATCTTATCGGTTGCTCCTGGTTTTTGTCTGTTGTTTGTTTGTTTTGTGTCTTATCTTGAATGGGATCTCAGGTAGCCAACACTGGCCCTGAATTCCTGATACTGCCTCTACCCTCAACCCCAATTCTAGGATTACAGGTGCCCTAACCATGCCTGGCTTGTTAGGTCATTTATAAGCCTCATTTTCAACAGAGACCACTGGGCAACCAGAAAGGCAACATTCTCCTAATACAATGTTTCAGTCAGTTAAATGTTAATTTGCTATAGGAAACTTAGAACCAATTCCTCTTGGTGACTCTTGCCTTCAAATTACATATTGGCAACAACAAGCCAAGCCAACAAAGGGGGCAGAAGATGTATTTGACAGGAGGAGAGACTTAGCAGATGAGTAGGAGGAGAAAACATATGAGATGTAGGCTGAGTTGCAGCAGGAAAGAGCCTTGGTGTGAAGATGAATAGCTGAAATCTAAGGCAAAATACAATACCGTCCCAGCGAAACATCAGAGAAGCTCAAGATAGCATGGCACAGCCCAGCACCCCAGCTGTCTCAAGGGGAGACATTTTGAGTCTTCAAATGCAAAGTTATTAAAGTCGGGAGAAATAACATACAAAATTTTATCTAAGCATGACATTTCTTTTAGAAATGAAAATATAAACAAGTATTTAGAGGTACCAGAATGTTTGTTTGTTGTTGTGCTTTTGTGGCTTCAATAACTAGGAGGGGAAAGCAAAAATATACTTGTCTAAGCACTTGAGGAGTAGTATGTAACAAAATCTGAAAAGGAAAAGGGGACCAAGGCAAAATAAATGCAACATGGATAAAAAGTATTGTTGGTTAATATTTAGTATGTGTCCATTACTAAAGTGTTTGAAAAGTCACATTAAAAAAATAGCAAAGTAAATGCAATGAAGCAAAAGATCTCACGAACATCACATAGAACAGAGAGCTCTGCAGGGATGGGGGTGATTTCCCCCATTAGAAACCTTGCAAACTACAAGCAATCCTGGGGTCCTTTTCCATTAAATGCTGTTCTGCAGTTCTCATGCATTTAAATAGTGATTTTTTTTATTTTTTATTTTTATTTATTTATTTTTTTCTTTTTGGTTTTTCAAGACAGGGTTTCTCTGTACTGTATAGCCCTGGCTGTCCTGGAACTCACTCCATAGACCAGGCTGGCCTCGAACTCAGAAATCCACCTGCCTCTGCCTCCCAAGTATTGGGATTAAAGGCGTGCACCACCACTGCCCGGCTTAAATAGTGATTCTTAATGTTTCGGAAATGTGTTATATGTATATTTGAACTAGAGAGATTTTATGAAGACCACAGTCATTCAGCAGCCTTCAATAATTGTAATGTAAGTTTGGTAAAGAACTTTTGTACTGAGGGATGGAGGGCTGACTCAACTGTGAGGAGTGTTTGTTGCTCTTCCAGAGGATCTGAGTTCAGCTCACAGCACCCACGTAGCCAGTTTCACATCTGTAACTCCAGTAACAGGGAATCTGAGGTCATCTATCTTCTGGCTTAACAGGTACCAGAACATACAATGCATGCTCCCACACAGATATACATACATAAATAAAAAATTTAAAAATAATGTAAGTTCTCGTTTTGCCCACTTTTAACTCTACTCCTTGCTCAATCTTATGTGAATGTCTAATGCGTTGTCCACCTTATACTGAACGAAACTTTTTTAGCAAAGCCGTGGCTGTTACCACTAGGGGGAGGAAAACACCAGTAGTATTGGTTACCAACCCTTAGCCCAAGGGTTAGGTACTTTACCTAGGCTATCCACCAGGTGTCAACCGAGAGAAGAAAGTTACCCTCACCCCCACCCCCACCCCCGAAATGCAAATACGTCATTTTATGCATAACAAGCCAAACTCAAACGGCTTGCCCAGTAATTATTCTTGACATAGTTATATTCTAGATTTTTTAGCAAGTGTCAAGTTAAATCTACCTAAATGAAAATGTAGATTTTTTTCTTTTTTAAAATAAAGAAAACAGCAGGATGAATGTGTTTAGTTTGTTGTGATTCGATCTATCCAGATTTACCATGCAAAAAGAATCTAATATTTAACTATGGACAACCTCACCCCCACATTTTTGGTTATGCATAATACAGGATTTTATAACATAGTCCTGCTATGAGGTTATGTTGATTGTTAATGATCTTAGTTTATGCCATTACCCTCTAAATCCTGGTAATGCTTAGAACTCATTGTGTTTTTTTACTCAAGGCCTTAGAAAAGGAGAAAGGTGCCTGTATTTAAAGATGCAGCGCAGCAATTAGCATGTTGAATTAAAAGAATTAACTAACAAAATTAAGCCACACTTATGTAACAAATCATACTTAAAAACCAAAACCACCGTATATGCTTTCCTAGGTAAGACTTTTCAGTCCGTTGTAAACAGTGTCAGCTAAATGACTAAGTTCAAACTGCCTCTTATGAGGTGGTAATTAGGGGTGTGAGCTCGATTCTTATTCCTGAGGATACTGGAGTAGTAATCGCGTCATTCCCTGCAAATGGAGCAGTAGGTGGTGTCTTGAAAAAGGACTTTTTCTCCCTTCGAGGAAGTGGTCAGGCCTACACACTACATAGACAATTTGGTTGGGTTTGATGCTGTAGGAGGCTGGGAAGGCAGCTGAAGACAGGAGCTGCCTGGAGCATTGTTCTTTGGCTCCTCAGGCCTTGGCTTCATCTATTGCCACCCAGCCTACAAAGTCCTGCTTGCTTTTGTTGTTTCTATTCAAGTCAACAATGCTTTCTTCTATGAACAATATTTGTCTGTTTTTTATTACGTTTTCTTTTGAGATTCATTAGCTTAGACTCGGGCCACCAGCGGCTTGCCCAACCGGTTTCTCCCCTTCCCCCACGGCTCGCACGTCCTCCGAGTCCACGGCCCAGGCGCACACCCCTGGCCTGGCGCCGCCGGGTCCCTCTACCCAGCTCGGGGAGCGCGTGCGGGCCGGCACTGCGGCCGCGGCGGGGGTGGGGGGGGGTGCCCGCCTGCCAATCGCGGCGGCCCATGCACCGAAGTCGGCGGCGCCGGCTCCACACCTACTGTACCGGGAGCGCGCGGCGAGAGGGGGAGCGCGCCGCGCAGGAGGGAGCGCGCAAGGAGGCTGGCCGCAGTGGCGGCCTGCGCCTGCGCACTGGGGTTGTTTTTCACAAAGCTGCTCTTAAAGTGAGCTGGCAGCCTCCAGCCGCCCGTCTTTGTAAGGAGACCACTGAGACGAGCAGGAGCGTGGAGCAGCGGCTTCTCTGCTGCCCTGACTTTTTAAGAAATCTCAATGAACTATTTGTAGACAATCACTGATCCTGCCTGCAAGATTTTTTTTTCTTTTTGCAAGGCATAGACACCGATCAGTGTTAAGTGAAGATCACATCTTATATGCGATCTTGACTTTTTTTTTTGGTCTTACATTATATTTTTATAGATTTTGTTATAATCATGGTGCTGGGAAAGGTAAAGAGTTTGACAATAAGCTTTGACTGTCTTAATGACAGTAATGTCCCCGTGTATTCTAGCGGGGACACTGTCTCAGGAAGGGTAAATTTAGAAGTTACTGGGGAAATCAGAGTAAAATCTCTTAAAATTCATGCAAGAGGACATGCGAAAGTACGCTGGACTGAATCAAGAAACGCCGGCTCCAATACTGCCTATACACAGAATTACACTGAAGAAGTAGAATATTTCAACCATAAAGACATCTTAATTGGGCACGAAAGAGGTAAGTTTTTATATTAGTCACTACATTCTACTTCTTTGCATGAGAACTTTAATCTCATTTAGCAGTTCTAATCGGCAGTTTGATAAAGGTTAGCAAACTTAGAAGATGTAGTTTCTCCTTGACGTTCAAGCATGTTCCGCCGTAATCCATGCAGGCGTCTGCGAAGTGAGTGCTAACTGCACTTAACTACATCTGTAACCGGCTTCATATCTGCCATACGCACCTTACAACGTGTTCAAATGTGACTCAGTCGTTTTACTAATATTTTCAATTCATTTGCAAAAGCTGCAGTCCAATAATGGATTTCTCCTTTTATTTTACAATCTTGGATCCAGAAATGAGCTCCAGTAAGGAACTGTAGTGACATTTTAAAGAAGGTTGCTAGATATTTCTGATTTTGATATTAACGTACAAACGACTTTAAAGACTTGATTATTGTTCTTTGATAAAGGGCTTCCATGGCTTATTTTGACATATGGCATCAACACCCCCACGTGTTTCCCCCTATTTCTCCCAATTCCTTTTAAAATGGACATTAAGCATCATTTATTTTAAGGGATAATATCTATCGTTATGCAAACTAGTAAATCAGTTTTAGAAGCCATTCAGGGTCAGTAATTTTCTTCTCGGAACATCATGTCTAACTTTGGAACGTGGATTCAATGAAATCCATGGCAGACAGATGGAATTGAAAAGTATATGGCACATCGGATTTGGTTTTTGGGTACAAAATGAAGATTAAGGCATTGTCAAAGGGAGAAGGGGTCCTGAGATTTGCGATCTGTTGTTTAAGTGGCTACAACGTGGAAATATAGGCGACTCCAAGCTTGTTTTTCTAAGTTTCCACCCTTTGTTAGAAGCGGTTCAATCCTGTTTCGGACCAGTTCTGGGGGATGGTGAGGAGGGGCGCTTGCTCTGCTCTCAGCAGATTGGTTACACGCGTCAGGTGGTGGCGATGACTTAATTCCTAGTCCAAGAAGACTATAATGTTAAAACTGGTTATGTAATTTGTGTTTCTCCTTTCTAAGGCACTATTTTAGTGCAAATACTGGCGATTTTTCAGACAGAAGCATACTTTCATTTTTTTTTTTAATATCTGAAACGTACATCCTAGGGAGACGTTAATTGAACTTAAGGCAAGTGAGAAATGGAGGATGCTTTAAGTTACACAGAATTAACGTATCGTCTTTTAAATATGAAGGTGAAGCCAATTCTTAGGGTTTACGCAGCTACACCGAGGTATTATTCTACATGCTGAAATGGTTCTCTAGTTCACCTTCTGCAACGTCCACACGGGTGGGCCATAAAATGCCTGGTGACAGCGCTGTTGTTTAATTTTAAAAGAAAAAGGCAAGGCACATGAATTTTTTTGCGTTTGAACCTGCTTGCAGCCTTTAGTAAGATGAGAAGAGACAAAGGCTTTTTTTTTCCTCGAAGAGTTAAGACTTGTCGTAGGGGAAAGATAGAGTTCTGTGGACGAACACTTGATCCGTTGCACCACGATCTCACGGTTAAGATAACTACCTGCACCCTGCGAGGTGCCCCGGCTAGCCTGGCTATGCGTGGACGGGTTCCTAGGGCTGGAAGAGTTTCAATGACTTCAAACTGGCAGCTCGCTCTCAAACTAGCCTGGTAGCTGAGCGCCCGCCCCGGGCGCCCGGCGATAGGCGGAGCCGCGTTTGTTAGCCTGTTGCTAAGGCGATGCCCGGCGTTGATTGGCTCGCGTACGGGGGGCGGGGGTAGTCGAGCCGGCTCGCGCCGGCTAGGGCGAGGCTTGGAACCGGCGTGCGCCGGTAAAGGTCCCTCCCGGCCGGGCGCCTCCGCCCCTGGGCGCGCCCCTCTCTGGGCGCCCCGGGCCCTCCCAGCCCCTCGCCCACTGCAGGTGCCACTGCCCCGTCGCAGGCTCGGTTAAAAATCCCACTGGAGACTGACGGAGGTGCGGGCGCCACGGTCGCCCCGGCGCTGGTACCTGTCTGACCCGAGAAGAGGTGACAGAGACCGAGCTGGGAAAGAGAACGCCGCCGCCAGCTCGGCCTCACTCATTGTTCCCCAGGGCCTTCGCCTCCCCACCGCCGCCCCACTTCCCCCTTTCCGTAACAGCGAAGGTGTCAGGGTGGCCTGAGCCAGATTGAACCGGTCACCGGCTGGGGCGTGGAAAGCGGAAGCGCGGCGCGCCGTGGCCCCGCCCCTGGCCCAGCAGGCTAGGCTGCGCGGGCGCGAGCGCTGCGCGACGTATGCCGTATGTATAGCGGGGCGCGCGGATCGCGGCCGCGCGCGGGCGGGCCGGCTGGGATCTGCTCAGCGCCGGTTTAGGCCGGTCCTCTCCTGCTCCAGTCTAGTTCTTGATTGACAGCCAGGCACTTGTTTACCACGGCGCGGCGGCCGCAGCTCGCCTCAATGAGACTGCTGAGCTGGCACAAAAGGGAGCCGGGAGGAAGAAAGGGAGAGGGAGGCGAAGTTTGGGCGCCTTGGAGGGAGCGAGTGGACGGCCCCGGCTCCCTTGGCCGGTCCTCCGGGCTGACACTGAAGGGGGCTCCCCAGGAGGCGCGGGAAGCAGGCGCAGATAGGGCGGGTCACCCTGATTTGGGAAGGAAAGTCGTATTTTTATGTATTTTTCAGTACTTCGGTGAAGTGTAGTGATACAGCGCCAGCCTCCTCCCACCCACCCCCCATTCTAATTAAAAAGGATTGCACACCAAGTAAAGCTAGTAAGAAAAGGACCTTTTTCACATTTTTAATTTATTTTCACAATACATACATAAAAAAAAAATGAATCCGGGCAAAAGAAATGGACTAAGTGAGTGAAGGCTTACACACCTTTTACCCCCCACCCCCGGCCCAATCCCCTGCAAATGAAACTACCCATTAGACTTAAGGATGTTGGACAAAATGTTTCTTTGTGAAAAAGCATCTTTTAAATTCTGTCCTTTGTAATTAAACATACAAAAGCAGATTTTGGTTGCCGCTAGAACCGGTTTAGTGTTGAATATTGTCTAAGTAAACAATTATATTTAGCTTTGAAATAGTCCCTAACCCCTCTCTTTTTGACAGGGTCCCCTCTGGGTGGCCCTGAGTCACAGAGGTCCTCCTAACTGCTTCCTGGGTGCAACAGGAATTGTCTTCTCTAGAAAATCCGTAGTCACCAAAACCTGGCAATTTGAAAAATATTCTGCAATTTTTATTTTACGAACACTTAAATAAACAACTGGTAGCCAAGAAAACGGTATAGTCAGATACCCGAACCTATTTAATTGTTTTTTTTTTCATTAAAATAAAATAGCCTATAAAATGTAATTATTCATCCCATTTGAGAAATGAGGAAAACGAAGAATAAGGGTTTTTATTTTAGCCAGAGCAAATAATGAAGTTGGGATTAGAACTCAGATAAAGATGAAAGCTTGTGGCTTTGATCACCTGAGAATAACAAGGTTTTTGTTGTCTTGTTTTTTTTCTTTTTAGATGATGATACTTCTGAAGAAGGCTTCAACACTATCCATTCAGGAAGGCATGAATATGCATTTAGCTTCGAGCTTCCACAGACGTGAGTATCTAAGTAATAAGCATTTTCTATGAATACTCTTAGTCAAGCACAGGCTTATAAAATTAAATACTCCATATTTAAATACGGAGTTTTTAATTTTTTAGTTTAAAAAAAAACCCTTTTCATTACAGAAACTTGATAGAGGAAAACAATGTATTAAATAAAAGGAGCTATTTTTAATCTAATGTGGCAAAATTACAGAAAGCACTGAGTTGTTAGAATTTACAGTAGTGTTTGAAGCTTGTAAAACATTCATCTTTAATTTAGGACTGGTGATTCAGTAGGGGCTGATCAAATAGTAAACCTTCAGGGAGGTGCTTAGTCGCTTTATTAGAAGACAACTGAGGCTCACTGGATTATAATCCGCTTTCTCTCTTTTCTCTATTGTGAACGGTTAACAATACATTAAGAATGTAAAGATAAGACTCAAGGAGAGTCCTGTCCTGTAGATACAAATTCAGTAGCTTCTGTATACAGAGCTACCAAGGACATTACAGAATATATCATAACCTGGACTTAAAGGGAAACGTCTGTCAGACCCACCAGAGTGGAAAAGTTAAAATATAGTACATTCTTAGCATTTTAACAGACTATTGGGATAGAATATATAAACACTTTTACATAATGCCTTTTAACAGATACTAAAGCCTATGAACTGACCCCTGCGTTGATGTATCTAGAATGAATTTAGCTCATGAAGAGCTTATCATGCCTTGACTATATCTAATTCAGTGTTTACTCATTCTACATTAGAATTTTATGTAGAGTTCATAACCATTGTAAAATAGTGGCACTTCTACCAAGATATTCTCGCCCTGTGCCTTGTAAGTGACAGCAATGGACAGTTCTCTCATGGGACAGGCTGCTGCTTGAAACCAAAACACCAAACTCTACAATCTGGCCAGGTTGAGAAATAGTTCTGCCTCTTTTGACATAGGCTTAATGGGAATATTTTTCCATTCAAGCCTTAGAAAGTAAAGCTAGCAAACAGCCAAGAGAGAGTTAGAATGAGTGGACAGGAGTGTAAAAAAAAAAAAAAAAACCCATTTCTGTAAATTTATGAGAAAGGAAATTGTGAGAGTATCCTAGACTTTTTTTTATGCCATACTTAATTAGTTGCTATAAAAAGAGGTTCTAATTCCTGGCTAACAAAAGTAGAGCAGTATACAGACTCTTTTCTGAATGTTTGATTAGGATCTAGGCTTTTAAAATAGAAATAATGAGACAAGTCTTTACTTTTGTATTAAAATTTTTATCTTTTCAAGAATAGTTTATTTAACTTTCATAATTTTGCCACCAACATTAAAAGTAGGCTCTGTAGTTTCAGGGAATTGTATTTCTCTGGCTTTAAAAACAGAATTTCTGTTACATTTACCTTTTATTATTATTTGAAAATAAACGATCTTTCCCCAGTGACTTATCCCTTTGGAAATTTTTAAGAAATTATACATGTGGTGGCTACTGGTCCACAAACAGCACATGGTGACATCTTTCTATATGTGGTACCTCATAGACAGTTCAACATGCTAAAACAGTTTATTCTGATCTAATACTGAATTTTTAGAAAGAGGTATAAGATTAATATATCCATCTTTATATTTTACACAGACCACTTGCTACCTCATTTGAAGGCCGACATGGCAGTGTGCGCTATTGGGTGAAAGCCGAGTTGCATAGGCCTTGGCTTCTACCAGTAAAATTAAAGAAGGAATTTACAGTCTTTGAGCACATAGATATCAACACTCCTTCATTACTGGTAAGAATTAACTGAATTCTGGATTGCTTTTTAACATAAGAAATACAGAAAGAATAGCTACCTAATCTATGCAATCTCCATAGCTCTAATAAAGCAATTTTACTAAATTCCATTAAAAATGCCTATTGTAAAATGCGGTAGAAATAGAGCATGCAGGCAGATGAGCAGTGTGCTCCTGTTTCTCCCGCTGTGCTGAGTAAATGTAAAAGGCCAGGATGTGATGGGAAGTGTCTTTTACACAGAACACAGCAATGGCAAGGCCTGGTTCCTAAATTAGTTGATGAACAGTATTATCGTTTAAGACGATAGCATCTACTCTTACTTGAAACTGTCACAATCGAAACTTTGTACTGCATTGCATTATTCCAATTAGGGATAGATGTCAAATGATGGGGAGTCATCATTTTCATGAAAAAAACAAAAACAAAAAACACCTTAATTTCATTTTAATTGCATTTTATAAGACTAATTCAAATTTGGCTTCAAAAACTGTTAGGCTTAAACAAATGATGGCATCTTTAAAATGGACAGTTTGCTTACTTTTTTTTTTACATTTTCAAAGTAAGATGTTACCATTTGGAATTACAACCAAGTTTCAGACAGTTTATGTAGAATTTGGAAAGGGTTTTTTTGTTTATTTTAATTAGTTTTTATTTGTATATACATGATGGGCTAAAACTTTACTTTGGAATAGGATGTAAAGCCTTTAACCCATTTTTTTTTCTTTATTGAATGGAAGTTTGCATAAAGATAGAAGTTTGGTTTCATTTAAAACCATTGATTAGGGGATCAAAATCAATTCTCTTTGTTGATTTTTAAAATATTGTGACTTTTTATGAGTTTGTACATTGATTTTTTTTCTCAATTTATTTTTTACAGTCACCCCAAGCAGGCACAAAAGAAAAGACGCTCTGTTGCTGGTTCTGCACCTCAGGCCCAATATCCTTAAGTGCCAAGATTGAGAGGAAGGGCTACACCCCAGGTATGTATGAGGTTGAAGCCCACACAAAGTAGTTACTACATATTTGTGTATACACTTAGAATATGACAAATCCCAAACGTAAGCAGCCAGCCTTGCTTAGGCCAGCTGTGTCCACCGTGCCGTCCGTTTTCTTTTACAGCTGTGGCCTCCTTGTCTCCTGTGTTCCCAGGAGTAGCTTTAGCTGGAGTTATAAACTGGTCGTGCTTTAACTGGAAGTTTCTTTGTTTACTTCCACCACGGTAGTTTCTCTGCACAGAGTTAACTGCGCTTCCTAAGTGAGCTTCAGAAGTCTACGCTTTATAGTGGCTGTTGGCTTGTTTTCTAATAGTAAATTTAATGGCTTCCCTCTGCAGGTGAATCAATACAGATATTTGCTGAGATTGAGAACTGCTCTTCCCGAATGGTAGTGCCAAAGGCAGCCATTTACCAAACACAGGCCTTCTACGCCAAAGGGAAAATGAAGGAAGTAAAACAGCTTGTAGCGAACTTACGTGGGGAGTCCTTGTCATCCGGGAAGACAGAGACGTGGAATGGCAAGCTGCTCAAAATCCCACCCGTTTCACCCTCCATCCTTGACTGTAGCATAATCCGCGTGGAGTATTCACTAATGGTAGGTGTTACTGTACAAGGGTTTTATGACTTGTCTTAAAGTTGTGGGATTATAGTGCTGGCTTATCCAAATACGGTTTTTATAGCCCACGTATAGTGGAGTGTAAACTTTACATTGTGATTGTTAATTCTACCCCACATAAGCCTATAACATTGAACATAAAAGAGAAATTGTCTGGAAACTAAAAGGAGATCTCAACTACTATCAGAATTAGGTTGTGTATTAAAGAAGGTTAGAACCTGGAATGCTGACCGCAGCCTCTGTCCCTGTAGGTATACGTGGATATTCCTGGGGCCATGGATTTGCTCCTCAGTTTGCCACTAGTCATCGGGACCATCCCTCTGCATCCGTTTGGTAGCAGAACCTCAAGTGTGAGCAGTCAGTGTAGCATGAATATGAACTGGCTTGGTCTGTCCCTTCCTGAAAGACCTGAAGGTAATTAGATAATACATTTCTAAACATACTCTATTATTATTAAGACTTTCTCTTTTGTTTTTGGTATATTACATCCCTAGTTAAATTGAACCTTTCCTTAGATAACACATGTGACCTTAATGTTAAGTTTGGTTGTATGTCTCCCTTGTTTTAATCACCAAACAAATAATTATGCTTTCACATGACACTTTTTTAATATCTACTATTCTGTGTATTTTGACATGCATAAGAACATGTTGTTCGAATTGCGTGTATCTTTCTCCTTCAGCACCACCCAGCTATGCAGAGGTCGTGACAGAGGAACAGAGACGGAATAATCTTGCACCAGTGAGTGCTTGTGATGATTTTGAGAGAGCTCTTCAAGGACCACTGTTTGCTTATATCCAGGAGTTTCGGTTCCTGCCTCCACCTCTCTATTCAGAGGTAAGCACCAAGACATCCAAACACACTGAGGCTCCTTGGAAGCGGCAGTGCAGGGTTTTAACACGAGAGTTGCTTCTTGGTTACCCTGGGAGTAAAAAATTTGGAACAACAGATTAAAAATTATGATTGTCATTTTCTAACTTCAATACAAAAGAGTTCATCCAGGAAATAATAGGATGTTTAAACTCTAGTTGATTCTTTAGGATTTTAAGGAATAACTTTATAATTTTGTAAACATTAAATAGCTAGAATTTATGTTATTCATGATCCTCTAATCTAGTTCTTGCATATTTTAATATTCTTAGTCATAAGAAAAAAATAACATATTTCCAAATGACTTTTTACAAAACACTGCCAAATATATGATTTATGCTCTCCATGTTGATGACACTGGGCACACATGAGTAAAGATGAGCACTTCGGATAAGCTCACAAATTAATGAGAAAAAAAAATAAAATTCAAAGCGAAATGCTGCTTTACCAGTGTTAAGAATCACCTCCCAGGTAATGAGCAGTTTATTGGAACTTAGGAATCAGTGTGGTTTCTCTGAGAAGGTGATTCTTAAGCTGAATTTTAAAATACAAATAGCCCTCCAGGGGTGGGGCAGTCTAGGCAGGAAGGGCAAGTCAGCGGAAGGACAGAAGGGATTGGGTTCAATAGTTCCAGGACTTTCTTACATGACTGGAGCGAACAGTATACATTTTTATAAGACCCTTCAAATTGACCTTGATAACCAAAATAACTACAAATCAAGAGACTTGTTCTCTGGGTTATGTAATTTATTCCACTATTTTATAGTATACGCATAAGACACAAAGGCTCTTGTTTGTACTTTGAAACCGATTGCTGTGTCACCACCACTGGAGACCTGGCTCCCTAACACCACTAATTGACTGTAGGGTACTCAGAATCTGCTCATGCTCATTTTTTATTAGATATTTTTCTTATCTTACTGTGGTCTATAAAATATGTGTTAGAATCTGAAAATGTTCTACCATTTCTCACAAATTCTGTTACAGTATTTTTATTCTTACATTTCTTATTTTGCTTCTGGCTTACTTTGTGTAGTCATAGCTTTAATGAATATAAAAAAAGTAGTATTAATTTCATCTACTTTTTCATAAATTCTGCCCATTTCAAGATGAATATAAGTCAATTTAAAACTTGTACAACTCTAAAATAGCTCTGGAATGTGATTTAACTACAAGGCAATGACTGGCAGTTTTCTTTAGAAATGTGTATTTGATGGAAAACTTCTGAGGCACTTTGGGTGTCTCACATTTAAGTTCAAGTGGATCAGTCTTGTCTAGACGACCCTTGAGTCTCACAGGAACCACAGAGCCTCAGGAAGAGGTACCCTAGCACTTAGAACAAGAACAAGAGAGACTTTACAAGGGAGATGAGCGGTTTGATGTTGTACTCCAGTGTATAACCAAGTGTACACACCACTGATGTTGAGTGAAACTGCCCTGCTACAAGACAGCCCATCAGGAACTTGTGTGCCATTCATCCAGAACTACAAGTAATGCTAGTAACCTAGCACCTTTGCGTTCCCACGTAGCACTTCCGAGGGAAGGGAACACCAGGGTATAATTATCTAAGAAGTTATGTATGTCCTCTGATTATTTTGCTTACATTTGCTGACTAGTACTCAAAAGCAGTTAAGTGTTGTGTTCTTCCTACACCTTACCAAGTGACTTTATCGTATTCCTACTAGATTGATCCAAATCCTGACCAGTCATCTGAGGACAGACCATCATGCCCCTCTCGCTGAAGGAACACTTGACTGAATCAAGTTGATGTGGGTTCTGAACTGTATCTCTTCCGGCTGAGGACAGAGAAGTATCTTGGAGACACGTTTTCAGAGGAAGTGGAATTGCTTTTGCCCAGACAAATGGCAAACACGTGAAACAACCAGTGATCATGCTTTAGAATCCTACAGCATCATTTGGGGCTGCTCCAACATGCTTGAAGATCTGAGCTTTCCTTCTTTAAAACTGACACATGCTAAGGGCACTCTTCTTAGCTTGTGGTCATCCGTGTCAAGACACCTTTGCAGAGAAGGATGTTGTCCTTCCTATTTGAAAATTTGCACATGCTCAATGCTTACATTGTGCAGTTCAATGTCACTACAGCTTTTTCTCCATTTATGCCAGACTCTTGATACTCTTAAAACTTGTTTGTGGTCAGCACAACATGGAACAAAAGAAAGCTTTGAAAAACTATGACATTACAAAACAAAACGCACTGACAGGTTTTTTTTTTTCCTTAGTTTGTTTTTTGTTGTTGTTGTTTTAAGTTAATGTAGCCTGGACTATACCTGCGTATGCACATGCTCAGAATTGTCCTACTAGGCTGACCATGGATCACCTCTTCAGCTCGGATCCTATTGTGGATTTATTTACAAACATCAAATGCCTTCAAGCCAATCCTTTCGCTGTATGTTTTGCAGCCTACTGTAGTAGATAAGCAACAGATACAAGGAGAAGAGAGACTGGAGGAGGCCAATGAAAGACTTCGTAGGACTGTGGTTTGGTTTCTGTGAGAGTGTTGCCTTTCTACTATTGACAGCAGAGCAGCATTGTTACTGACTGCCTAACATCACTCAATCTCAGGTGAATGCATCACTTGCCAAACTGTCGGAATGCCGTCTGTGTGTGTTGCACTGTTACGTTGTTGTTGTTCTTGTTAATTGGTTGGCTTTTCTGCAGAGGGAAATTCGGAAATGGGACATACACAAAACTGATAACCCACCCACATTCCCCTTTTTATCATTACATATAAGAAGAGACAAAGCTCAGAGAGGAGAAAGACAGTAGGGCAGGCACCAGCGTAGGCAAGGGTTGCTGCTCTGAAAAACTATTTTTATTACTTTAAAAATGAATGGAAGCTGTCCAGTCACTAGGGAAGGGAGGGGAAAGTGCATTTATTTTTATACAGAGTTACTTAATTACCTCCAAAACACATATGTTGGAAATCATTTTTGCTGATGCAAAGTACTTTAGTAAGCCGGAATATGTTTATCAAGGTCATGATGGGAGAAGCTTCATTTATACATTTGCTCAAATTTGAGAGAATAAAATCCCAAATTTGTTTCCAAAGTGCATAACTTTGGAAGTAGAAATGCTAGAATGTTTGCTGGGATAAGTGGCTTTAGTTTGTTCATGTGTATAATATTGTTTTTCAACAATTTTTTTTCTGTCATCTAAGAGGAATTGATAGGTCACTAGTTTTGAGTATATATAGGTGGGGCAGCACATGAGTAAATTATTTTTAAAGATAATGTATGGTTGGATCGTAACGATTTACTAACATTCATGAAGCAACTAAAACCCCATCTTCTCAAAATACAAAATAGAGTGATTTTGTAAAAGTTGGCTTGTGTTTTAGTGACACCAGCATCTCTGATGTTGCAACATATGTGTGAGATGGATGTTACATCTGTCCACTTTGCCATCTGACCCACAGTTAGAGTGACTGAGAATAATAGTAACTCTGGCCTGGTGCTTGACCTGGTTAAATACTGTCTTAAAGCTTCATACAAAATAGGCTTTTCCATAAGTGGCCTTTAAGAAAACATGGAAGAGAATTCATGTTTGAAATAATGCTGACAGGGTGAAGAAAGCCCATTGTAAAAATGAGTCGCGTTTTAAGTGATTCAGTTAAGGGTTTGTGCTCCCGTAGCAAACTATACTAGATAATAAGGAAATGGGGGTGAATTATTTTTTTAATTGTTAAATCATTTTGTGAATGTCCCCCCTCAGATGAAGCTGATGGGCTATTTGGCATAAAGGGCATTTGGTGGTTTTGTTTTTGTTGGGAGGGACTGTCTGAAAGCACCTGACTCTGTGTTATGTCTAACTAGGGAACAATTGTTGGTGTGCATGGCCACGGGGCACTCACTACCATGTTCTACAAAATACTTTATTAAGCAAGAATGACCAATATTCTAATAATTGGCACTGGTGACAAATTTCTTTTAAGATTTGGCAAAATAAAGTTTTATTTTTCCCATTAAGTATTTCTTTACTCTTTAGAGGCATTACACTAGTCTAAATATTGGTCAATTCCTGACATAACATCTGAGGGTCACAGTTGCGCTCTAGTATTCAAGATAGCTTCCTAATTTTTCATTTAGGAAAAGTAAAATCCAAAATGTTCGCGAAACAAAGTGCAATATTAAATGTTTGCTTTATAGATTATATTCTATGGCTGTTGTAATCTTTTATTTGGTGCTGAATATGTTCTTGTAGGCTCTGTTTTAAGAAAACCATGTGGGAAATGATTTAACTTTTCCTATTGCTCTTCCTTGTGGAAAATAAAAGTGTTTTTTTTTTCTTTTTTTTGTATAATTGTTTGACGGTTTATTTGAAGTTTGGTCACACGCACACCCCCTCTGATATACTCGGTCCTGACATTATAGGAAGACCTACTTTATAAGTTAGGTTGAAAACCATTGAGCTGTTTTTCCAAATTTCAAAAACAGCAGTAAATAAAAGTAGGTCTGACTATTAGAGTGATTAGCAATCTTCAAAATCCTTTTGGAATCAAATTTAATTTTTCTTGTTCATTGTTTACACATATAAACAATGTGCCTTAGAATGGGATTCCCATGTTACCAAGAGACATTTATACATTTTGAATGCAATTATAATGTGTTACATAAATGGCTGAACTGTAAATTTGTCACACAACCCAGTGGAAGACACAAGTCTTTCAGTAGTTAACAAATGAGAGGGGTCAGTGAAGAGGGAATAAACTCAGATCAGTGAGTGGACCAAGCCTGGAACAAAAGGCTCAAGTTGATTGCTCTTCTGGAAAGGTCACGTAAGATGCTCACTGTTGAAGGTGTGAATTTGGTCTTCTAAGGAAGTAAAAACACTATACTCTCTACCACCAATGACTCCCAGTTCTGGGCACTCCTGGGAAACTGGCATTGGAGTGCCTTGAGACTAAACTACCTATCTTACTTAGGTTAAATGCATTGTGAGTCCACTCAACTGTCAAGCTGTTCCATGAATTTACTGAATGGCTGATCTTGCTGTATTTGATTAGGACTTTTGATTCTACAGAAAAGAAACTCAGATGAGCTTCAGTGAAACAAAGTATTAACTAATAATTCCAGGAATGATCTATATTAAACACATCTGGATCTAGGAGTGCCCTGGGGACATTCTCTTCCCTTTAATTTCTTGAAATGAGTGTTTTTGTAACTCAAACTTTTCACATTTTTTTTCATCCTAGCTTCTAAGCTAAACAGACCAGAAAACTTTTATGTTCTCCAAAGACAAATAGAAGACTTGCTCAAACTGGCTTCAAACTCAGGATCTGCCTTCCTTATAAGTGCATGCCACCATGGCCAGTTAAGAGATTCTGATTAGCTGGTACTTGGAACTTATTTCTTATGACTTAGGTGGGTTTTCCAAAGAAAACCTTACAATTGAATATTGTCCTGCTCCATCAATAGGGCTTAAGCCAGCAACCACAGTATATGTCTTTGGAAGTTTTGAATTTTGAGTCAAAATCTACCTACTCAAAAATTCCCAGATGCAGTTTGAATGAGAATGACCTCATAGGCTCATGTATTTAAACATCTAGACTCTAGTTGCTTTAGGGAAGGATTAGGAGGTGTGTCCTTGGAGGAGGTGTGTCACTGGGATTGGGCTTTCAGGTTTCAAAAGCCAGAGCTAGGCCAAGACTTGTGTGCATCCCCCACCGTGTGTGTGTTTGTATGTGTGTGTGTGTGTGTGTGTGTGTGTGTGTGTGTGTGGTGTGCGCGCGTGCTCGCACACGCTGCTTCCAATCATGATGGTCAGTCACGGACTAACTGAAATTGTATAAGCAAACCCCAGTTCTTTTCTTTATCAGTTGCCTTGGTCATGGTGCCTTTTCACAGCAATGGAGCAATAACTAAGGTAATATTTTTGAGGTAGAATTATGTAATCTCTGAAATAATAGGCAGTAATATCTTTGGAGTTCAGTGTCGTCAACAGTATGCATTTCCAAAAGCACTTGACTGTGGTGAAATAGTTATCTTTTCATTCTTTGCTTTCTTTGAAAGAGGAGATATGTTCCAACTCATAAAACATTTTATTAGTAGCAAAAAATATTTGGATTGAGGAGATGGATCAGAGGGCAAAGTGTTTGCATGAAAGTGTAAGCATGAAGACTTGCTTTCAGCACCCCAAAATAAAAAAGTAAAAAAGAATCCAGGTGTGGTAGTAAGAGTCTTCTTTAATCCCAGTCCTCATCAAAAGCTGGAAAGTCTCTATCACATTCGGTATATCCCATGTAGAGCGGTCCAGGCCAGCCAACCCGGTCTCAACATAAGTAAAGATGGTGAGCACTGCTGCCCACCTACAATCCCATCGCTGAGAGGCAAAGTCACAAGGACCCCAGACCACTGCCAGTCAGCTAGTCTAGCCCAATCAGCAAGCTTCAGAGTCTATGAGAGAGACTGTGTGCAAAAATAAGGTGGAGAGTCTATCCCACCACCACATGTCCCTGGTGTGGCCTGCAACATGCCGGTACAAGCATGAACTCACATGTGCATACGCTACACACAGAGCTTTTTCTCTAATTATGAACACAGTGTTCATGGAGACCAAAAAAGTGCACCAGATCCCCAGAAGCTGTAGTTGTGAGCCCCAGTGTGGGTGCTGGAAACCAAACTCATCTGTAAGAGCAGCAAGTGCTCTTGACCAATGAGCCATCTCTCTGGCACTCCCACACGTACAGTTTTAAAAAGCAAGGCTATTTTGATTTTCAAAGAATGTTATATGCAATATTCTTTTCAAAAGAGAAGAGAAACAAGGATCTGCTGGGTATGAGTGAATACACAAAATGTGGTGTAGATCTGAGTGTCCTAGAGCTGCTGTGTGGGTGTGCTGGAGCAGCAGTGGGAGAAGTAGGACTTTAGGGAAGCAGGCTGACCAGCAGTGTGCTTGGGTATCTTGTCCGGGGCTCCTCCATGTGGTTTCCTTTCTGTGTGTCCTGTCCTCCATGAGAAGATGAAACTCTTCACCATGTCTTCAACCCTCTGAGATTGTGAACCAAAACCTTTTAGGTTGCTTACATAAGATATGTTGGTCACAGCATAATAAAGTAAGTAACCCCAATAGGTTCTAGTTTCGTGTGTCAAAAGTATGTGTGTGCATTGTTGTTGGTCTAATACAACTCTAAAAATAAAAATGTGGGGAACTGGGATGTAGCCCAGTGGTTAGGGTACTTGATAAGTACACATGAAGCCCTAAGTTTCCAAGCACCACATAGCAACAGATACAGTGGTACACACAATGGAACCTCAGGGCATGGAAATAGACCCAGCATAACCTTTTGAGAATTCAGTTCAACTCAGCATCACCCCCTTCTCTTCTTGGTAACATGATAGTGTGCAGTTACAGAAGAACGATCAGACTATAATGTGTATACTAAGTTATACCTCACAGAACAATCTCAGTCCTCAACTGAAATCAGAAGTTTACAGGAACACCAGCCTTCTTACACTGTCCTTGTACAGGTACTGTGGTAGAGTTCTTTGTAGCCTCACTTCCTGTTTTTGAGTGTCTTTTTAAAAAGGACGCTGGTGACCCTTGCAGCAGTACCCATTCATAGTGCTTACTCAGCTAAAACTCCTGATATATCATCCCTAATCTTTAAGGTCCGTATTGTTGTAAAATATATAAATATTTAAATACTGCAGCTTAAAGTTTGCACAAATTAATTTTACTCTAGGAAATAATTAGGTCAAGCTTCCATAGGGAGCTATCTTATTTCAACTAGTAGAATTTGGCCATGTCCTTTAAAGCTAGCCATAATCTTATCTAGTGATGGCAGTGTTTGAGGAAGTAGATGTTGCCAGTAATTAGTGAACTTCATCATAGTCTTCCTCTGTACGGTCACAAGGAACACAGAAGTGACTTCCTAGGTGCCATTCTTATCACTAAAAGTGAAAGTTTCCACAACTTTCAAATTTTCTTCCATCTAAATAGACCCTTTGGCAACAGGAATGACAGTAAGGAGAGACCCTTCTGCCACGTGCCACAAATGGGATTTGCAGCTACTTTGATCATTTATACATAACAAACCATGCTTAAGATAACAGAATATTGCCCTCACTTGGTCCTTTTGGCTTGGGCAGACACCTAGCTGGTCTGCTCCTGTGAAGACACCTTATCCTACATCCTAGAGGAGCCACTGCACTCAGAGCAGCGGGTAAGAACCCTCTACCACTACCCTATGCCCCAGAGCTATAGCTGGGAGCCAGGGGCACTCAGGACCCATCAGCCACCCAAACCCCACCCCTATGGAATACCACTCCCCTTCTGCCCCTTGCTTGGTCCTTTTTGCTGGGGCAGACACCTAGCTGGTCTGCTCCCATGGAGACACCATATCCTGAGACATCCTAGAGGGGCCACTGCACTCAGAGCAGCGGACACCTAGTTGGTCTGCACCTGTGAAGACACCATATCCTGAGCTATTCTAGAGGAGACACTACACTCAGAGCAGAGGAATTTCAGGATCCCAGAGGCAGCCTGAATCCCAGGAGTTCTTCCACCCAGGAGCTCAGGATCACAGAGACATCTGAACTCTGAGGAGTTCCCATACAAGCAAGATAACTGGAAAGACAGGCTCCAGTCAGAAATGGTGAGTGCAGGTAGCACTAAAGTTAACCAGATGTCGAAAAGCAAGCACAAGAACATAGGCAACAGAAACCAAAGTTATTTGGCATCATCAGAACCCATTTCTCCCACCATAACAAGCCCTGAACACCCCCATCACACCAGAAAAGCAGGATTCAGAATTAAAATCACTTCTCATGATGATGATAGAAGACTTTAAGAAGGACATAAATAAATCCCTTAAAGAAGTACAGGAGAACACAGGTAAACAGGTAGAAGCCCTAAAAGAGGAAACACACACACACAAAAAAAAATCCCTTAAAGAATTACAAGAAAACTCAAAAACAAACAAACAAACAAAAAACAGGTGAAGGAATTAAACAAATCCATCCAGGATCTAAAAATGGAACTGGAAACAATAAAGAAATCTCAATTAAGTTTTTTTTTTTTTGGTTTTTCGAGACAGGGTTTCTCTGTGTAGTCCTGGCTGTCCTGGAACTCATTCTGTAGACCAGGCTGTCCTCGAACTCAGAAATCCGCCTGCCTCTGCCTCCCAAGTGCTGGGATTAAAAGTGTGTGCCACCACTGCCCAAGAAATCTCAAAGGGAGACTACGCTGGAGATAGAAAACCTAAGAAAGAGATCAGGAGTCATAGACGCAAGCATCACCAACAGAATACAAGAGATAGAAGATACAAGATACAAAAGATAGAAGAGAGAATCTCATGT